TAGCGTTGCATAACAAAAACCATGATGTGACACTACAGCACAGTAGCATTGCAAAAAAGGCATGTGCTGGCACTACCGTGTGGTAACAACTACAACTATGCAGTAGCATCTCATGTAGATGTGCCCTCTGAGTCACTTCAGTTGCTGCACTGAGAGTTTCTTGAATCCTATGCAGTGGCTGTAGGGGAAGCAGAGAGCCTTCTTTTCTCCTTCTGTAGGAGTATCCATGGAGAGTTTCTGAGTTCTTCTGGATGGTTGACAGCATGTTGAATCCAAATTGCATCCATTTGGAAACCATATCAAATGTTTCTTGCAATGAGGTTCTTCCTTTCTGCCTTTGCCAGCAGTATTGATTCAATACCGTCTGCACTGAGCCACTCCTCTGTGGCAGATCTAAGTTTTCAGGGCATAAATATGAAGACTTCCCTAGTCAGGTTTTCCCCCAATTTTGTCCCAGCACTTGAACATGCCAAGTAAAATGTAGAGAGGGACAAGCTTCTTCCATTAAGCCATCGGTGGTTAGGTTTATGTTGAAAAAACCCTCTCTTTTTCATTGATAGTCACAATAATGGCTATCCTGTCTCTAACCTGGCCTTTCTCAATACAGTTATTAAAAAGGATGCAGTGGCACATCTCTGATATCATTTGGCATCTCAGATTTCTTTGACCCCTATATTAGTCTGGCATTCAATCTGGATATGGCACATTGACTCTTCTTGCTTTGTTGGTGGATTGATTGCATCTTGGGATGGGCAAAGGTCAAGAACCCAAGCAGATTCTTTGATCTATCAGCAGCTTTTGATCTATGTAATCAAGAAATGTAGGGGTGGACGGGAGAATTTGTCAGCAATTTTGCATTTTCTGTGGTGATAAGTCTTCAAAGATCAGGCTTTTTGCTCATGAACACACATTTCTATGCTTTCCTCACATTCCATATTTTTGGGAGCTGCTCATGTCCACGTAATATTTAGATATGGTTCTGCTGTAATGCCAATCTTCCCTTTGAAGGTTTTACCCATAGTCATGCACACTCCTATGACTTCAGGTTTAAGTTGTCTGAAGTGGCCCTTCTGGATTACCCAGAAACTGCGCCTGGTGTAGAATGGGACTGTCCCATTGCCCAGCAGTGTTAGTTTGAACACTAGAATGTCTCTAGATTCTTCGCTGGTTTCCAAGTCAATTCCAGGTTCACTTCAAACTCTGCATGTGTTGCAGGAAGTTCTGCCTGATATTTTGCTCTGAGTTTCTACACCAAACTCCACCATGACAGTGTCAGCTGAGAAGTTCTGTTCAAGACCTGTACCTAGATTTGATTTTTTACGAGTTGGCGATATAGCATTTTTAGTGGAGGAAGGTCATTAACTTTGTAAAACATTTGTTTGCAGTCTTGCTTAGCCCCTTAGAAATGGTCAGTGGGGTCCTTGTTGCAAAGTTTTAGTGTTCCTGATATATGTACATATAAATAGATGTGTATATGTATTGATATACATCTTAGGCTGTCGATTATATTGTACCCACTTGTACAAGGACTCAAATCACAATTCATCTGGAAGGAATCTGCTTTCACTTGTGTTGCCTTCAAAAAGAAGTAAGGTGCAACCCCTACCACAAGGCATTTCTAGACTAAAGCCAGGGTGCTCTGTACATGCAGGTCCCTTT